TTTCAGCTCTTTGCTCCTCCTCCAAAGACATTACTTTTTTACTTTTACCTCCAGGTTCAACCAATATGCCAACAAAAAAAGCTAAATTCTTCTTTTTCTTCTTGTGCTTTTTTAATATTTATTATTATTTACGGTAGATGAACTGAAAAAGCTAACTGCTAGCCTTTATGTTAGCTACCAGCTGAGTAAACAGCTACTGCTGTGAAGCAGGTTGAGCTCCCACTAGCGTACCTACCCAAACCAAAACTGTTAAGTGTTGCTTCTGGTCTGCAGATGACTACAGAGTGCTGTTCAATTCAAAGTTGGTAAAGTTTCTAACTCAACCAAGTTTGAAATCAATGGCTTACATTTTTAGATATTTTGAAGATTGGGTCTGGTCAGGGGACTGGGATTGCTGTTTAGAAGTTTGAGGCGATACCTTTGGTGGATTTTGAAGCCTGTCTTTGGATCATTGTTCTGATGTAAAAGCCAAACTCATTTCAGCTTCAATAACTCAACTAGAACTTAGCAGAATACATTCTTACCTCCATCTGTTTGACGTTTGCTGAGCCACGAACTCCTGCACTTCCAAATACCACAGCAGAACATTTTCATCTCTGTGATTACCGGTCGGTAGGTGTTCCCTGCACAAATTCCACTTTTATCATTCCGTATTTTCTTCAAACCAAAAAGCTTCCAGCTTGAAGCTGTGGCTGATTCAGATGTTAAATTCTTTGTATGCCAATTCCATGTTGAACATGCAAAATCTGGGATGCAATCTGCTGGAAACAAACTAAATAAAGAAAAGAAAAACAAAGATTGTCAGTTTCCAACTGTGAGTGGCATGGTCTCATTTTCATTTTGGTGGAATTTTTGAACCTGCTTTAAAGTTGTAGGAAGGCATTTGCCCCCATTGTGAGTGTTGGGAAAATGCATAAAATGGAACTGTGCAAAATAACTTGCAGAAAGAAATATTTATCCAACCATTTTCCTCTGCTTGAGTCTGAGCAGAGAGTCCTTTTCCCAGTAACCTCCACCTGTGGGATCCCGTTGTCCGACCAGCGAGTGCTAGGACAGCCTGAGGGCCTCCTGTCAGCAGGACATGCCAGAAACAGAAACAACTCTTCTGGAAGGCTTCCGAGGGGCATTTCACCCAAATGCTCAGACTACCTCAGCTGGCTCCTCCCGACATGGAGGAGCAGCGGCTCTACCCTGAGTCTCTCCTGGATGTCCGAGCCCGGCCACCCTATGAAGAAAACTCATTTCAAACTCTTGTTCTTTTGGTCAATACCCAAAGCTTGTGATCTTTGGTGAGGACAGGAACAAGGATTTCAAAGAAAATTGAGAGCTTTGCTTTCTAGCCAGACTCCATCTTTACCTAAACATACAGGTTCACTGTTTGCAGAGCCCCAGTCTCCCTGTCGACCCCTTCCCTCACTCATAAAGAAGACCTGCAGATACTTAGCCACCCACCTCTACTAAGACCCAGCACGGGTCCTCACATTCAGCTGCTACCCTACAGTGTGAAGGAGCCAAGAGGACCACATCACCCACAAAAGACAGAGATGAGATCCTCCTTCCACCAAACCGGAGTCCCTCCACGCCACATCTGTACCGAGAAGTTCTGTCCACAAAGGTAATGAACAGAATCAATGACCAAAGGCACAAGAACCTTTGCTTTAAGACACAACGCACAAAAAAAGTTTGAATTGTTTCATATTTCTGTTTTACTATTTATAGAAAGACATTTTAATGTCTGCTGCAAGGATGGTATTTACTTCTTTATAATTCATAAATCAACACCATGTTTAATTTGGCATAGGGTGCCCCAACATTTGCATACTACTCCATATGATCTTTCATATTTGCAAGAGTATATGTATCTATGGTAATGCTTTTCTTTGCCACTTTCTAACAAATGCTGTGGCATCTGTGTATTTGGTGCATTACTATTAACGCAAATAACTCGTAAATCTGACGCCCATTCCGGCATTTTAATTATCTAGTACGAACATCACAGTGCAGCCTGAAAAACACCACGTTAGGCGATTAGAGAACACCCACACACGTAATCTTCCAGATTAAAATAGTGTTTGGCAAGATGGGAAAAACATCGAAATAAGAGACAAGTCTCAGTGGAATAAAGCAGCAATGGGTTCAAAAGACACCTGTCATAAAAAAAGACCCTGGTTTGATTTTATACTGAAACGTGCCGCAGACAGCTGAAGCCATATCAAGTTCTCAGGAGAAGTTTGGCTAGTTCTGCTCTCCCAGACGGCTGTTTGCGTCGCTGGGGAGATGTTTGTCTTTGGCTCGTCTCCAGATAAGGACAGTTGTGCCGCTCCCAGCGATGAATTTATTCACCAGCTGCCAGACTACAGCAAGCAGACCTTGTCAGATAGTGGGTTAACAGGTCTGCAGCTTTCTCTCCCCTCTTTGTTCACTTTAGTCTCTGCGCAGATTATACAAGGCTCCTAGGTTTAATGCTTTGCATTTTTATTTATGACTGATTTGTTTTAAAAGAGGCATGTGTGCTGGCATGTTGTTTAACGTCCGTTCACACATGGATTTTAACAAGGTTTCAGTCAGCTGTGGGTTTGATTAAAAATTTTAACAACCCTAAGGTATAAAAACTTAGATAAATCTGCATTTTATTCCGTGAACAGATGATTATGCACATCACACATTAAACAAAGGAATGTGTGATACTTTGTGAGCTGCACTCTGTCCCAACTCGGGTACCAATACGGCCCAAAATAACAGCTGTTTTTGCACAGCGGGTGTCTGCAGAGAGTATTCACAATATGCTCACACACCTGTGCAACTCCAAAATATATTTCTGAATGTGCACCCACCTCATGGACTTTGGCAGGTAACAAAATGAACATGGAGTTTGTGGCAAAGTTGATTTAAAAAGAGAGAGTACAGTGCAAGGCTAAAAAAAAAAAGGTTTCACTATGAACAGAATTATCCCCCGGAAGAGCGGTCACAGCCGATCTGAACTCCCTGGAGCCGCGCTGATTGTCTGACACCATCTTCTCTGCAGCTGTTACTGGAGCTTCACCAGCTGAGTGCTGCAGCTAACTGTGTTCAGGCTGGAAGCACTTGTTAAGAGTTGGACGACTTTTCCATGAATCTGCACCACCTTAGTTTGTTTAAGGATGACGTTGTGGAGTTAGATCAATGACTCACCTCAATAACTTTACTATTTTCAAGACTTTCATTGATTGCTGTGGTTATTTACAAGTAATAGGCTTCAATACGTTTTTGCCAGAGTTACCAAGGCAGCATGAAACCTGTACATCTCTAAGGAATAAATAATCTGTTTGATCACTATTTGGTGGCCATCTTGGATTTTATACAGTGGCTAAATGCAAACAAACATCTTTACCAAACATGTGTCAATATCCTAGAGACATGGATTTAACAGCTTAACCACAAAAATTTGTAAACATGTGCATGTAAAGGCCAAGTTCACTGAGAAACCATTTATTTTTTTTGAATTATGATTGGTCACTTCTATCCTTATTTCCTGCAAAAGCTGCCAATAGAAAAAAGACGAGGGAATGCCCAGATTAGGAAAGCCACTCTGATTTACATCTAGGGGCGCACGTTTTCCAATATGTCTACCGGCTACTGATGCCCCTTAATAGTTAATAGTCGGTTGTACCGGAACTACCCCCCCCCCCCCCCCCCCCCCACCCCCGCACTCAAACATTTGTATGTAGACTTTTTCCGTCTACTTTTTAAAATAATTCTGACACACAACAAAGTCCCACACTTGTTACATTTATAAACAAAAAATAAAAAGAGAGTGGGATGACAGCTGAAATGTCCATCAGACTCAGAACTTGTTGTGCAGACCGTCTGGCACCAAATGCACAGCGCTGCTTGCAATTGCATGATGCTTATATGCACATGGTGGAGGCCACGTAAAACAAACAAAAAACAAACCCAACACTTTACTTTCCTTACATTGAACTAAATAACTACACTGACATTTCTTTATTTTAATAGACAAATTATGATTTAGACGCAAACAGGAGCGCCATGACAGACTGGCCTGTTTTTGCTAGTCTCTGTTCAGTTTGCTGCGCCATTTTCTGCCGGGCTCAGCGCTTCGATTTGAGGCTTGTTGTGTTGCAAGAAGAAAATAGCTAAGAATAAACTGCTCCCACGCTGTGCTCTTTGCTAACCACTCCGTGTTTGAGCACATTTGTTTGGTCATGTGACAAGCTCATTTCTTTTTCTGTGGTTGCCCCGTAAACATTTTGATAGAGGCGCTCTAGTGCCCTCTAGTGGTACAAAGTAACAAAATATATTGCACTCAAACGCAGCAGAAGTACTTTAATCAGTAAACCTGGCAAAACTATTTTACCCGGTTGCACCATTAACAGCAATTAACTATGTACACCACTATCTACATCACGTTGTTAAATTAGCATTCATTGAGTCACTCATCTTGGAATACGATGAGGAAGGCTGAGCACAACTTGGCTAGTAGAAGCTAACCTTGAAAAGTGCCTCCATCACATGGCAGAACTCCTTCAGGCTTGTGGTATTTGTGGAGGTAAAACATCAGCGCAGAAGAGCAAACAGTCAGTGGTAGAGTCAAGTTGCTGCTAGCCAATCAGAGGTCAGATTTACAAAACTACAGAGATAGATTCACAAGACATTCATTTCCCGGGATCCCATATTCCCTTTTCTTTCTCCCTCCTGATTTAAACATTTTTCCCCACAAAAAACAACAATTTTATAATTTTTTTTCACAAAAAATGTTTTTTTAATAAAATACTTTCTTCTTTTTCTTAATTTATATCAGAGATCACTGCAAATGTGTTGAAAAAAAAAAAACAAGTGAACTTTGTCTTTAAGTATATATATATATATATATATATATATATATATATATATATATATATAACAGACACTTACATAATGGTAACGATTTATGACAAAGACAAAAATAATGTGTTTATATTTTATTGTAAATATTTCAATAAAACTGAAGACAAATAAACACACAACAAATAAAATAATCTCAGGGGAAATGTAACCAAAAGCATCAGTTGTGAACGTTTCTGAGCCATTTGAGATGTACGTTTGTCTTTTTAAACAAACTTACTCTCTTGTTTAATAAAAGTTTCTCATCTGTTCAATAAAAACAGACAACTTATAAAAACTGTTGAGTTCTAGCAATCATCAAAACTAATAAAAATACAACTAATCATTTGTTTATACTGTTATAATTCAGTTCAGCCAATGTTCTGAATATAAAACACACAAAAATCAACATTCATGAATCATAGGTAAAAACAACAGAATTTTTGGTACCAAAAGTAACAGATGCAGATTTAAGCTTGAACTCTTCTTTTACCAATGTGTAAAAAAAAAGTACAGTTATGATGTAAAAAACTTCTATTATAGTTTGCTGTGAGACTGAATATTTATGGAATACAAAGTTCTAAGCTGTTTTGCATCTTTAAGCACAAAAGCAACAATTGTGTCAGTTTAATTTATATACAATAAATCAGGTTCAGACTCGTGTTTACTTTAGTTTTTTAATAATAATAAATGATAATAATTAGCTTCCAATAAATCAGGCCTTTAAAAATGTTGTTTCTTGCATTAATTTCTTTTCACTTTTGTGTTATTGAATGTTAAAATCACTGTACACATATTTTCTGGAGACTGATGCCTGACACTTTAGTCTCTAAACATCTTAGAGTCTGACTCTTGTAGGTACATGGACATTTAGCATCACTGAGGCCAGATCTTACAGAGCTCTGAGTTTGGCGAGCAGAGCTTCTACATCTGACTCTGCAGTGGTGTTGCAGCTGCTGACTGCAGGACCAGAGGAGGATGGCTGGAGGGATGGATTCTCAGCTTCAACCTCCAGCTCTTTCTCAGTCACCTTAACCATCTCTCTCTCCACCCCTCTGTTTCTCTCCAGCCTGGAACTGTGACCCGAAGCAATCCCATACCTGCCACCGGACTCCAAACAGCCAGACACTTTGGCCCTGTCTGCAGATGGACGGCTGTCAGACTCATTACGTGCCTCCTTGGCAAGGGGAGCTTTCGCCGCCGCCACTGAGCCCACATTTACATTCTGCCGAGAGCGAGACCTTTGTAAAGGTGCCTTGTTGTTCTCTGTGTGGAAAAAACAGAGGGAAAGCAATGAGCACAAGAGTGAGAATGAGCGAGGCGGAGGGGATGCGTGACTGACTCGTTAAATGAATGGAAGGCGAGGAGGTTAATCAGATTACAGATTAAATTACAAGGAGATAAAGCAGGCGAGCGTCTAGGAAGTGCAGTGACGGTTAAAATTCAGAAAACATAAAAGTATTAGGGAGCCGTAGACAATTCAGAAAGCATATGCTAAACAAATGCACACATGTAGACAGTGAATACATAAATCCGGTGCACACGCACTGATGAAGATGGAAGACGGTGGCGTGCAGCCAGCACACGATGATGAAATGGATATGGCTGATCAAGAGCAACAGAAACTCAATAACATTGTATGTTGGCCTTTTCCAATCTTCTACTCTTTCACCCTTTTCCTCACAAGAAATCCTCCCACCCAGCTCCACCTCCCTTGTTTCCACCATCATCATCCATTCTCCTTCTGCTGCTCTTCGTCTCAGCTCTCTGTTCCCGCAGAAGTCCTCTCCATCCTTCTTATTCCTCAAACTGCATTCCCAGGCAGACAACGGAACAGAGCGACGCCCAGATGCCAGAAATCAGACTTGCATTCTGAATTACAATCCCTCTGAGTAGATCTTAGACTTCATCATCAGTATGTGCGCACTGGAAGAAGAGGCGGAATCCATATTCATGTGACCTTGAGTGTGAGGCTGAGAGGGGTGGTGCAAAGGAGAGCCGCCACCGCATCTAAAGTTTCCTGAGCCTGAAATGTCTGGCAAACAGGAGTCAACACAGCAGAGCAGAACAGAGCGACCCGCTCTGTCAGCCAATCGGTAATGAGTTTGGAGCGTGGCCAGTCAGTCATGACAGTGTGTTTTATGGGCCGAGCTGACGAATGACAAGGAACGTCCCTGAACACAACCTCTGACAAATAAATAAGGATAAAAGGAGCAGAGCCGGCAAGAACGACTTGAGAGCAAAATAAGCAAAGAAAGCCAACAATCGTGCTCTCACGTTGGCACGGAAAAACAAACGAGGATCACGCGTTTACTGGTTTGACTAAAAATCACAGAGCTGGAGATGAGCCAAGTCTTCTTTGAGGACCTTTTGGTAACGGCCTCAGTTATAACAGCCGACAAATACCCCCCACAGGCTCTCTGTGCACAATTTCCTCCGCCCGCCTCTGAAACCCTCCCATCTGCCCCCATCGTTCCTCTTCCTGCTTGCTTAGCGATGCCCCACAAGCACACTTCGATTACTGAGCTGTGAGGGTAACGCATTGTGTTATCAAGTAAATTCATTCTGACATCTGAATCTGGACAACAGCGCAGACAGACAGGCATGAAGTCAGGCAGACAAGTAGCCTAGAAATCTAGACAGACGGCCACTGAAGCAAAATGATTTTGATCTAGAGGTCGGTGTAGCCAGGCTCCATAGGAGCCTCAGCAGGTCTACCATTGGCCTGTGCAGTATCATGTTCTGCCAATCACAGCGCTCTAACGACTTGGTGGGCGGGATGATGCGATGGAGCGGTGGCTTGTTAGAAACAGCTTTTCCATCAACTTTGGAGTACTTCGACTTGAGCTTTTCTTGGAATCAAGAGCAGATAGAGGTACTCAAGTCCTTTATTTAAAAACAGGGTGCATTTTTGTCTTATTCGGCAGCGTATGGTAGACTCCCCCGCTGACTGACATCTGTAGCGGTAAGTCTGTCACGTTGGTGGTTGTCCAATAACATACAAGACAGTTTAGTAAGGTCTGCTGATCAAATACTCATTTGTGTACTTAAAATGAGCTACGAAGCTCGGGGGCAGCGTGCTTTCACTTACGCTGCACCAAAAATGTGGAATGCACTCCCTCTGTCCGTGCACCTGTCTCCTTCACTGGTGCAATCCAAATGCTAAAGACCCACTTCTTTCATCTAGCTTTTGGCTGATGAGTGTGTTCTTGGGCTGCATTTAGTTAATTCTGGTCTTAGAGTCTGATTTTTTGTCTTATCAGTTTTATTTTCTGTTAAACATGCATTCTCTGTATGAAGGTGATTAATTAGTTTAGATTCCACCGCACGAGTGAGCTCTGTCTATGGGTCGTGGCCAGGCTAGCGGACAACATTTATCTAAAAACTATTCTGAGGAAATCCAAGCATGAAAAAAATCATCTGCACAAATCCCAGGAACTCACGAGCTATTAATGAATATATTTAAGGCGGTATAGTGTCACATCAAGACATATTTACACTTCAAAAGAAATGGAAAACACACACACACCGGAATAAGACGTTTTATCCCCCCCAAAAAGTGTGTTCCCCCCCCCCTCTAACAGGGACATGGCCTTTAGTGCTAAAGATGATCAAAGTGCTGGCAAGTTCATTTCTTTCTCATTTTGCCTGCCTGACACCAAACCGGCCCTTCCTTTGAAGCCTTGCTAGCTTCTCAACATATGCCTTCATCTACGCTGTAAAACACATCTGAGAGATGTAAAACATGCTTCATCTCACAGGTTGGACTCATTTAACAAACAGCTGACAAAGACTGCATAGGAGTGCTAGTCGAGCTCACTTTAAATCAAAATCTCAGCACTGGACGGTCCTAAAATTCACCTCCTTTCTGCTGTCCATCATCGAGGACAGGCTGTGTGACCAGGCAAAGGAGGGTCTCAGACAAATATGTTTACACAGATTTCATTAAATAAATCGGGTTTTTGGGGAAAAAAAATAAAAAAATTTAAATAAATAAACAACTAAATAATTCCTCCTGTTTTATTTTAATCACCCAGTCTCAACGGAATCCAATATTATTGAAAAAGAGTGCTACATTGTTTAACACTCGTTTAACATTAATGGACATTTGCAAAGAGCAAATAAATAAATAAATACATTAATGACAGTGCTGCCAGAAATCCTGACTATTCAACTCAATTCAAGTTTATTTATATAGCGCCAAATCAAGACGACAAGCGTTGTCTCAAGGCACTTCACATGGTAAACATTCCAAAACAGGTCAGTTCATTAAGCCAATCAGAAAAAGGTTTCCTATATAAGAAACCCAGCAAATTGCATCAAGTCACTATAGTGCCAGTGACTTTACAGCAATCCTCATACTATGCAAGCATTTAGCGACAGTGGAGAGGAAAACTCCCATTTAACCTCAAGAGGATCCTGGCTCACTATAAGCAGCCATCCACCACGACTCATTGGGGATGGAGAAGACAGAACACACACATACGCACGCAAGTATGCACGCACACACACACGCCATATATACCAACTAATGTTTCTATGGTTACATTGTGATTTCTTAGTAAATATTCTATTTGGTGAGAGATAAACTTTATTGTATTTATCCTAGCGAATCTTTTCTAGTATTCTCCACCTCCATCTACTCCCCCTACTGAGCCAGTTGTAGTAATAATGTAGCCCAGCAGTCATGAAGCGCTATATAAGTTCGATGCATTATTATTATTCAGACAGAGCTGCAGAGGAGGTCTGAGTAGTTATGCTGATAAAGATGATGGGTTATGGCAACTGCTCCACTCATTCACAAACGCCATGACACATTTCTTTTTCACCGTGTGGTAGACACCTGCAGGAGGTTTTCATGAAGAATCTTCCCAAGTCACCAGCGGAACATTTTGGGATGTCCACCCGGAGGGGGCTTATCCTCCTAAATGTTGGTGAATGTGTTTGTCTCACGTCTCACTGAATCTCAACTCAAAGACCAATATTCAGCATGTCCATGTAAATAAAGACATTTTTATTTCCTTTGATCAGTAACATTTACAGAAAAAAAGATTACCATGTTTGTGATTAAACAAACAAACAAACAAACAAACAAACAAAAAAACGATAGCCCATTTTCCCTTTGAAATCGCTGAAAGCCCCAAAATCAAATGTTGGCATATTTTCTAAAGAAACTTTGGTTTTAATCCATGTTTTGATACAGAATATTGTTCTCTTACTAATTCTAAAACACACAACTGCCAATCCTCGCACTTTGATGTGGTAGCAGTTCACTGGGAAGTGTTTCCTGTCCGAGAAGTGAAAGGAGTGCGATCCCATCCTCACAAAGCAGCAGACAGCACTTCACATTATGTAAGATCATTTGCTCTGTTTACATTTGCTGCCTCCACTGATGCAGACATGCCTTTGCTCATTCCCCCCTCCCTCCCTTCGCCACCCCCTCCAGGGCACTCCTGATGTTTGGAGAAGCTGGTGAGCAGGCCAAGGACAGACGCTGATGTCTGAGCTGCAGCACATCGCCGTCTCTTCCTATCTCCGGCTGTAAAGGCTGCACTGTCACCACTGTGGTGACAACAAACTCATCTCCTTCACATCAAGAGCTGTGAAGAAGCTGGAGCAAAATAGACGACACACGAGAAAGCCAGGAGACCACCATTTTCCAAAGTGTAAACCATGAGCACAGTGTGATGGTGCTAAACTACCAGTCTATCACAGTCCACAGCTCAGCGCTGCCCTTTCTTTTGCTGGAAGGCAAACTCAAGAATAAAAACATTGATAAACGAGCTGGCAGCCCCAGCGTCTCGTTTTCAGCTTCTCCACAAAACTGTCTTTAAGCTGAGAGTCTCAAAGCGCCGAGTCTTTTACCCGCCGACTGACACGGGAGCTGCTGCAACAGAAGACCAGCAAAATCTCTAACCAAACAGACACATCACTACTCTTGTTAGAGGAATTTCAGTTAAACAACAGCAGTTTGTTACATGTCTGATTGGATGACATTTTGTAGAGATGTGGAGCTCTGTCCAATGAAGAAGAAGGAAGATGGAAGTTTTCTTTTATCTGCAAAAAGCTCCAGAGAGGAATCCACATTTTCTTCTTGTCAGATCATTTGGTCCATTTGCATTTGCATCTTCAAATACAGATGCAGATGAGCCTCGCCTCTCCTCATCCCTTTTCTCTTAGGAAGCTGGCTGCATTTGATCACTTTAAGAAGAGACCAGTCACAGAGACTGACAAAAACACAGACTGCACAGAGACTTTCTCGCTCT